AAAGGTATAATAGCTATAATATACTAGATAGCCTTCCTTTAGTCAGAGAACGCTACGCTCTATAAGGCTAACAAGGCATTAAGCAAATGCGAGAGAGCTAAAAGGATATATATATAGCTTAGAGGGTTACTTACTATATAGAGTATATAGAATTTACTAGGCTAGAGGGCTATAGGTAAGGAGGGAGTATAGGAAATATAGCTACAGGGTAGTGATATAGGGGGGGGAGGCTTCGGTACTATAAGTCAAACCCCCTGCTTGTCGGCCCCCCTTACATTTCGGCGCCCCTTACATGCATTGCAACCCGACCAACCCAAACATTTCCAACGACCATAACTTCATCAATTTGCATCGCCTAGATCTCCCGTTCGGTATATAATACCTTCTGTCGCCAAAATGACTAAATATGCTAAGGAATAGCTTTTCCAGGCACTTATATAACTTCAACAAGGCTGGAAGCTTGCTATAGTCGTAAAGGAATAGGCTATACCACGGTCTACCTTATAGAGCCGTCGAGATGGTTATCAACTACGTACAGCTGCCTTTGAAAGTTTGTAAAGGCTTTCTAGGACGTAGGAGGAACGTTTAACGAAATAGGTCCTTAACCAAGTCGATATCGGCTTACCTCTAGCCTACTTATAAATCAAGGAGCTTGCGTAACGGATGCTCACCTCCTAGGGCAAGCCAACAACGCTTGGAAAACGCTGGTTGACCCGGTTCCTGAATAGGAACCCAGTCTTGAAGACCCAGAGGGCCCGGGCAATGGAATATACTCGCGTCAACGGCGCTACGACTGAAGTTATTCGTAGATAGTTCCCTTACCTAGCCTCCCCTAATATCAAGGCGATCAAGCCGGCCAACCAGTAGAATATAGACGAGGCCAGGATTATAGAAGGTATAGGGATTAACGGCCTAGTAGTTAGGAGCTGGTAAAAGCGGGCAATACTACGAAAAGCCCCTAGTATATATGCCTAGACATCCTTCATCGAGTGTATCTCGGCTATCGGTAGGTATATCTATCCCCTGGTCATTTTTAAGGGTAAAAGCGTTCAATAATAATAGTTTCTATTAGATTTAAAGCCTTTCGATAGCTAGGAGTTCATTACAATAGAAAATAGCTAGACTAATAATACTATAGCTGTAGAATAGCTAGAGATAATCTTTATCCCTTAGACCTAGCTAGATAACCCTTCCGAATACCGTTTATTAATACTTGATAGCTATAGTAGTTATACTAGCAATGACTTTATATAGCTATACTTTAAGCATTGTATTTATATTATTTACCTACTACTATACTACTCCTATATCTTCTAACTATTGGATTTATCTATCTTCTTACCCCTAAAAACAGCCTACTATAAATCCTTAAATACTAACTATAGCCCTATAGAGCGATACAAGTATCGTAGGCAAGTGGAATTTCCTAGAATACTACTATAAGGCTCGACTAATGGCCTTAACAGGTAGTAATATCTTATCGGGGTAGAAGGCATTAGGGTTATAGCCGGTCAACGTTACTAAACTACTAATAAGCTAGTTGTTAGTCGAAAACACCTATATTTCAATCCCTACGCCCTAAACTACAAGTTATCTAGATACCTTATATCCTCTAGTTATCCCTAGACCTATTGTCTTTGCTAAACTAACGACGTAGACTATACTAAAGAGGAGTGTTGACCTTCGCCAATAGTTAGCTGATTTTACCGACTAAACAGAGCCCTCTAGGACCTAACGACAGCTCTTTTACAAGGTCAATAAAGCCTTCGATAACATGGACGGCGACATCGCTATCCTACGCGCCGAAGACGAGGCTCTGCGAGCATAGTTGGAGGCTATCAAGCCTAGGAAAAGGAAGAGGGTTAATACCAATCCAAATACGACCTTTATAGATATCGGAGCTATCTGTAGAGCCCAAATTATAGCTAGGGCATTGGAGGTTGATGCAGAGGATATATCTGAAGATGAGGAATCTAGCGATGCCGGCGATTATATTGTAGTTGCAGCGAAAGGTCGGAAATAGTTAATTTGATATGATTGTAGTGGACATCAGCATCTTGAAAATAGGGCGCCGAAATGTAGGGGGGGCCGATAAGTAGAGGGTTTGACTTAGTATATATAGTAAGCCTAGCTATAATACCTATACTTGCTAGAAGGCTATAGAAGTATCTAATTCAGCTGTTTCTAATATAATTATAGTTAGTTCCTAATATTATTATTTCGTAATTCGGGATAGAGTTTAGTAAGGTAGTAGAGGATATTCTACTCGCTTATCTATTCTACTCCTTATTACGTATATTAGACCTATTTTTCTAATAATATCTACCTCCTCTTCTTACTAGCTTATACCTCCTACACTCTATAGCCTCTCGACCTATCTATTTTCTCTCTCTTAAAGACTACTTATCGCCATAGTATTAACGACCTCACTATAATAATAGACTACGAACCTATTAGTAAGAGGCTCTTCTTATAGTATTATATATAAGCCAGGAAGGATACTATTATAGAAAGGAACATCCGAAGTAGCTAGAAGGCATTAGGCTTATAGCTAGTCAATCTAGATAAGCTCCTAATAAGCTGTCTACTATTGAACTTAACCAACGAGCTAGCTAGTCAGCCAGTCAGCTAGCCAGCTAGTCAGCTAGCTAGCCAGCTAGTTAGTCGTCGGCTAATCAAGACTCTAAGCTATAGCTAGGAGGTCTATAGATTAATTAGTATCAACAAATATCTATCTACGATAACTATAAACAATAGACCTAGTCGCTAGGATTCTTTTTAAAAAGGTAGGTAAAAGCCTAGATAATATAGCTATCAATATAGCTAGTCAGGAACAGAAGATCTAGGTATTAGAAGCTAAGGTATATAGACTAAGGCTGAAAAAAAAGAAGAAAGTCAGGATAGATCTCAATACCTAGTTTACTTAGATTGAATAGATTATATAAGCTAAAAAGGCACTTACGAAGTAGCTAGAACCCTTAGAAAAGGTGATTGGATATATATTTGAAGATATATGCCTGGAATGGTCGATCTTCGACCCTCCTGTAGATACTGAAAAGGGGGAGGCAGATGGGGAAAATTGATCGGTTGGTGGCCTGATCGGGAGGTGGGTGCACGGACTTAAAATAGTGACCGCAGAAGTGCAAATTGCCAACGCGAGAGCTAGTTTGCAACTGCATTGAGGGAGTTCTGACAATCGGCTAGAACATCTCCTTCCTCCACGCTGAACCTATAGAAGAAGACAAGCGGCTATATCCCTAGAAGTTACCTAATCTACTCCTTACTCTAGTTCTATATCCAACAGTTATATATATCCTAGTCGGTATACTACTATAGGACTTACCCTCCTGTAGACTTTCCATTTTGTTAGGCTAGCAGTACAACCCTAGGTTTTTTCTTAGCGCTCGGTCCTAGCTCCTCTACACTCGGGGTTTTTTCCGCTCCGAGTTACACGGGTTCTTCCGGTTCGTTGTTTTAGTCAGGGGGGACCTAATCCCCTGACCTCCGAGACGACGGTTATACCTCGGGATTCCTCCTCCGGCTGGCTAGGCCGGCCTCTGAACGACCTTCCCCAGAGGCAAAGGAAGGGTGAGGGGAGCCGGGTTAGAACCGACGACCTCTATAGCTACACAGAAGACTTGCCATATATAGCTCCTTCCAACTGTGCCATCCCCCCTTCTATACTATATAGTCGTAGTAGAAAAGATCGTATAGATAGCTCAATGATATATCGAACAATGGCTTCCTCTTCTGATTGAATAAGCTTCTTTACCCTAGGCGTTATATCGCGTCGTGCAGTCTTACTATCGCGTCGTCGTATAAGAGTACTACGGCTGACGTTGTAGATCTTTGCTGTATCTCGTAGGCTTAGATTCTTATTGTTTTGAAGAGCCTCAAGGGCTAAGATTACCTGGGCTTCGTTTGAAGCAGTAGGTATATTAGGTGATGGATGAGGTTGATGTAACGTGTAGATGTGGCGCGTCGCGTGGAAAAGTGGCCCACTCACTGATATGGGCCACTCACTGATAATGCACGTTATACCAAGCATATTCACAACGAAGTGGGCAGATTGACGGTTGTTGTCAAAGTAGTATAGTGTAGTAGAAGTCGGTATGAAGAGCTGACAGTCCGCATTGTTGCTAGTGTCACGGCCTTCAGTGCTGCAATCTTACCGCTGCGTTATGTTCCCGCAAAGTATACAAGTGATTGGCTCCGACCATCCAATCGCTTAGGCTGCATTATAGAGCCGTTGTGGCACTGCCGCGTCTCTGACCAGGCGCCGTGCCGTGACAGCTAACGTTAGATGGAGAAGAGAAATAAGTTGTGGTTTAAGAGGTACTAAAGAGAATTCTTGATCGGAGGTTCCCCCCCCCCCCCCCCCCCCCCCCCAACCCGAGCTTCCCACTGGCTCCCTTGTTCTCACCTCTGTCATGGGCTCAATGCTTTTTGACATCAAACTCGTAGGCCCAAGCAGTATGAGCCTCTGTTTGCCGAACCGTGATGGTGATGGTGTCGTTGGCGATGCTATATGATGTCTTTCCGCGGCTGGTCGGGTTCCCGGCGATGGCCGTGGTGGAGGTGCCATCAAATGAGTAGGCCGTGACGTCGACGGATCCGGAAGCGTACCCAACAGCACTGAGACCCCGTACCGTGACGGCGTAGGTGCCCGTATGCACCCTGACGCCGGCCAGAATGCGCACCTTGTCAGACCCCACGGTGGAGTAGACGTCTAGCCAGCGGTCCGCAGAGCCGGTCGTGTTGACCCGGAGCCCCGTCATGTTAGTGCCGTAGTACTTGTACACGGGGTATCCGCCGGCGGGCGCGTAGTCTGTGGCGGCGTAGTCTGCTGGGTTGCTCCGCTTGGTCAGGAGCCCGCCAAACAAGTCGTGCAATTGCGTGCCGCTTAGCCAGTTGGCCAGCATGCCGGGCGTGTCATAGCGTTCCAGCCGGCTGATCCACCATACGTAGCCGCTGGGTACCATCTCGGCCGCGGCGGCATACTCGTTGATGAATACCTGGCGCTGTGGGGCACCGTACGTCTTGAGCAGACGAGCCAGGGACACGTTGGTGTACTCAGGGTCGTAGTTGATGTCTCCTGGACCCCCCAGAAGATGCAAGGTGTAGTAGTCAGGGATGGTGTTGTTGCCGACCGCCTGGGGCAGCCCTGCAGCAGATGTCAGCTAACATCCTTCTTTCAGGGTATTGCTGCTTACAAGTCGTCCAGTAAGCATTGTTGGGTCCTGGAGCAAAACCTATAGCCGGTCCGCTGATCTTCATGGCGTCCAGAGCGCGGTTAGCGCTGTTGTTAGGCACATGACCGCCCGTGTCAGTGTCAACGGGTGTGTGATGACAGCTCGGCTGGCTTACCGGATCATCTTGTGCGTACGCACGTACAAGTTTACCCACTGCTGGGCACTGCGGACCCAGAAGTAGGGCTGAATGTCCGGCTCGTTCCAGATGTCCCAGGTGACGTGAGCTGGGTCCATGTTTGCTGCGACATCGGCCATGAGCTGCTTCACAAACCTGTCGTAGTCGGAGAAGTCGTTGTTGTCGCCCGGCCATTTACCGCCTTCGCCGCCGGCATGGTCAGTGCCCCAGAGATCGTGCACGTAGATGTGGAAGTCGGCGCCGAGGGCGCGGCATGTCTTGTAGTTGGCCAAGGTTGACGCAAAACGCCCCTTATAATCGTTTAAGCTCACGACCCATCCACGCTGTCCTACGGCGCCCAGCTGGGCACCGCCTCCCTTTCCCCACCGGAAGCCGACGTCAGTGTACCAGCTTCTGGGAATCTGGTTTGGAAAGTTGTCCGGGATGCCGTAGATCCAGCCCGAGGCCAGATGATCTGGCTTACCCCGTGTGACACTGACATCGACATTCGCCGTCTGGCCGACGGCTTGCTGCGCCTCGAGAACGGCGCCAGGGCCAGCCAACGCAAGCCCCGTGCATGCGAGAAGAAGTAACAGAGTGTTCATGGCGACCATAAAGCGAGTTTGAAGGATTACCAAAGGATTTTGTCGCGGTTCTGGCACCAGTGGAAATTCAAGCGTGGACTTTAGTATATTTTGGACTAGGGGGTAACTGATGCGATCAACACTGAAAGGACCCAGGTAATTATGTACCTTAGACAAGCCTAGACCTACAATGTCGAAGGAGCCGAACCTGTTGCGTTTTGTCGTCGAGCGCTGGAGTCCTATTGGCGCGGATATAAGACGTTTGAAATATGTGCCTTCATGGTGGCACATTGGGCCGGGCTGCTGGAAACTATTTCGCCGCTCCAGACCGTCATCCATACAGGTAGTCATGACCTTCCCTTCATGGCCAACATTGAATTCGAGCCTTATTTTCCCGGTCTTGCGGTCCGATGCTTCGGTGGTGACGGACCGAGACAGACAGCACTGCAGCATCGAATCCTGTCGAGGTTGGATCATGATTCGTGCGGTTTGTCCCAGGCGTGCCTGGAGGAACGTGCGAGGAACGAGTACTTCCGGAAGGCTTTCCTTTTTCGAGCTTTGCCATGGCGTGAGATGATCGTCTCCCCCCCTGTTGTCTCGAAGAGCCACCACCGGATCGGATAGACAGAGCTGGGAAGTCCCCGCCCCCACCGGACAATCCCACATGAACCATCGGCATCGATGTGTGGGGCTTCCCCCGAATATCCCCATCGCACGGCACAAATTCCACGTGGAGCGTTGTGGGTAGACTGCGGAGAAGGCGGGGAGCGAGTTGATGGTCTGCTCCAATTGTTCCTCTTCTCAGACTGATTGAACAGGAGGCGTGAACCACCACCAGGCACAGGAGCAAAAACGCTCACCTCACCATGAGCCGCGAATGTGCCTTTAGGTTGGGACGCCGTCGTCCCAACGACCATCTTTTGCCCTGACAACTCGCCACACTCACCTCATTCTCTCAGCCCAAAGTCGTCGAGACTCTCGCCTCCATCATGGTCCGTCCCACTCTTATTCCGCTCCTCTCTCTGGTTTCCAGAGGCCTCAGCCTGCCGTCCCCCGTTCAGGAGGGAAATCTGGGCGAGGTCGCCAAACGCCAGAGCAGGAACGGAACTGCGACGATTTTGCTGAGCCAGCCTTCAGTCGCTCCTGCGCATCTTGCTTCAGGTCTCATCTATGGCATTCCGGACAACCCCAACGAGGTTTCGAACCAAATCCCCGATCACTTTTTCACGGACATCAAGTTCCAGTACTGCCGGGCTGGCGGTGCCCAGCTGCCGGCTCCGGCCCGTGGATGGATCCATGGACTCGAGGAGTATAAGGGTTGTTTTTCTTTTTCCTTTGCTCTTTCGTTCTAGGTCTCGCTTCAGCTCTGCCTTGTCCAACTACCGCACCACCCGAAAGTTTGGCACTCGTTTCATTCTGCTCTTCCACGATCTCTGGGGGGCGGGACGGCGCTCGGGGCAAAAATACGCCCTATCCTGGCGACGAGGGCGATTGGACGAGTTATGATGCGTAACTTACGCAGCTCATATCCGATTTGAAGGCGAACAACCGGTTGGGGGGGCTCGATCTCGATATCTGGAAGGAGCCGGACCTCGCCGTCTTTTGGACTCGAGGTATTGACCGGTGGATCGAAATGTGGAACAGGGCCATCCCGCGCTTCCGGGCTGAACTTCCCGGCGTTCTCATCACAGGTCCATCTATTGCTGTAATTTCCAAAGTCGGAAACGTCTTTGGTATTATCGCCTCGGGAACATCTGTCGATTCTCTGCACACGAATTAGGCAAACGACGAAAACGACAAGAAAGACAGAAGGCGCATCATGCTCATCACTCTTCTTGAGGTAGGAATCTGCCACAGACATGTTTTGACGCGTTCCATTCTTCGTTCTCAGTCAGGCGTCTGGAAGCCCTGTATTCCTCTGCTCGGTAGGATTAGCTCCGAAAAAGGGAGCCTGCATTCTCCACCCCCACCGGGCAAGTATCCGCAGCCGGGAATCAGACGGACTGTCACAGACCGCGCGGTCCGCGGGATGAGGTTTTGCATGTTTCACAGAGACGGCCCGTACGGCCTGCCTGATTGAGTATCTCTAATTGTACGGGGTCGTGAACCTAATTGTACGGGTCCGCACAGACCACCTCCCGGAGATGAGTTGGGCCGCTGTTGCTGACCACGGCAATACGATGGACCGTGCGGTCAGCAGTGTGCTTTCTGTCTGGCCATGTAGGGTAGGCGTGATGGGATCGTTGGTTAGGGGTGGAGGCTCAGGGGTTTCGGGATGTTCTCTCCCTCAGGTCGGCCAGGGGTTGGCGGAGGGTTGCTGAGGCCATTGCAGGGCCCAGCCCGTTACAACTTACAAGCAGGTGCGAGGTTCACCCCGCCTCTCCGCCACCACTACCTCGGCAGTTACCACGCGACTGAGCGCGATCTGAAGCTATTCAGAAGCCTTTAAACGCACTAGAGGAATACAGTTGCATTATCACTAGTACACACTGTTATCCCCAATCCAACCCACCCACCAACCCCCACCCCCTGCAACCAACCTGCCAAGATGGCTGACGACGGCAGCGGCGGCGGCCGCCCGCTGGATCTACGACTCGAAGTACCCCTCGAGTTGCCTTGGGTGCCTGGAGACGGTTTCGATTCCTTTGAGGCACTCTTCGATTATGTCAATCAGTGGGCGAAGCCCCGTGGCTATGCCATTATCATCCTCCGATCCAGCGACTGT